GCTCCTAAATTTCGCATTTTCACGAGGCTGAGACATTTTCTCCTCTGCAAGATGAACATCCCAGCTCCTCGTTTCAAGGGACACCAGCTGGGTGTCCCCAGACAAGTCAGGCTTTGAACACCCCCAACGAAATATCTGAAATACAGTCAGCAGTATTTCAGCTGCAAAAACTTCCCCAAATGCCCCTTTTCTCCTTCCCTTTCTGAATCCACCTCTGACTGTGCCCAGCAGAGAAATATTCCCTTCACCAGCCCCTCAGGAGCCAATAAATCTCTGCCCAAGTGAGCTGCTTTCCAGCCCCACTCATCCATCACTCCCCCTCATTCCCAAATCTTTACTGCCCTGACGACAGAGGCAGGAGGGACCAGCTGGAGTTTCAGCTCCCAAATGGAATTCACACCAGTTATGAGAAAGAATGATTTGGTTTTTGGGGTTTTTTTTTTTTCCCTAAATCATGTTCTGACTTGTAAATTGCCCAAAACTGATGTGGAATTTGCCGAGAGGAAAAATGACTCCTGGCACTGTCACTTTTACAGCCACTTTTCAGAGGATAAAACCCCTCAGAACAAACCAGATCTGGTGGAAATCCATCTCTGGCTGACAAGCCAGGAAATCTCCTGCTGCGTGGAAAGGGGGGAAAACGGAAAGTTCCTAATCACCAAATTATAAAATATAGATTTGGAGCAGTAAAAGTTTGGGATGAACATGAATTTTTCAAGTCAGGCTGGGGGTGATGGAGTGGGCAGGGAGCTGCCAAACGACATGTGCTGCAGGGACACTGGGAAAAACAGGGAGGAGGAGGGAAATGAGGGGTTTTTCTGTGTAAGACACACACACAGAGCTGGAGAGAGGAGGAGGGGACAGGGATGACCCCCCAGGGAACACCCACCATCCGGATTTTGGGAGTCAGCATCCTTGGGAATGGTGTAGAGGTCGTAAGTGCTGTTCTCCAGGTTGCTGGCTCTCTGTAGAGAGGGGGGAAAGCTCGTTTTGGGGGAGGATTTCAGGGAATGAACGTTCCCAAGGCAGGTCTGGGCAGCAGGAGGGACTCACAGTGCACAGCAGGACGGCGTTCTCAGCAGGGTTGTAGGACATGTTGAACACGGGGAACTTGGAGCCACTGAGGGAGAGCCAGGAGAGAAAAAAAAAAGGGAAACTCTGAGTGGAACAGAGACATCTTCTGATAAATGGCCTTTGTCTTCCCAATGGAGCAAAGACCAGAAGAGCTCATCAAAATAATTGCCCCAAACTCCTCTGGAAACACCCCAAGAACATCAGCATTTAATGAACTAAAGAGCTGCCTCTTCACTTGGAAACTCATAACTAGTTAACTGAAAAGATTTGATCTAAGCAGAGGTAAAACCCAACCTAAAACCACTTTTTTTTTTAGGTTTTCTAAGTCCTTCAGAGGTACCTGAACACAACACCATGACCTGAGGGGCAACAAACACGGGACTGAGGACACTGGGACACCTCCTGGAAGAGGCTGAGCCACCTCTCACCTTCTGAGCTGCATGACAGCCACGTCCTTGGAGCTGTTGAAGTCCAGCTGGCGGAGGAAGCGGTCCTTGACGTAGTAGAGCATGTTCCCATGCACGGCGTAGGCGGGGCGCTCCCGCTCCAGCTTGAACACGATCATGCCCCCGTCGTGGCCTGGGAGAAACACGGGGGAGTTCATGGGAAGGAAAGAAAAATCCCACCTGGACTTCCCCTGCCCTGAGGAGGAGGGGTTTTCACCTGCGGCAAAGAGGTTGAGGTTGGGATGGGCGGCCAGCACCCAGAAGCGATCGTGGTCGCGCCGGAAGGTCTGGACGCCGGTCCTGCACGGGAGGAATGAGGGGATTGAGGATAAAAGGATAAAACTTCCTTCCTGGGGATCAGAAAAGCTTCCTGCTGCCGGTGGCTGAGGGGCACTGACCGCTTGGACATGTCCCAGACCCGGATGCTCTTGTCCTCGGAGTTGCTGAGGATCAGCTCCTGCCGCGGGTGGAACACGGCGCACGACACGTTGTTGTAGTGGCCCCGGCACGTGTCCACCTCCCAGGCCTTGGACTCTGACCAGAGGGGGGAAAGGAGGAGGAAAAATCACTCCCAGACCCTCCTGAGCTGTCTCCAGCCACCAGCACAGCTCAGCCCAGGCACTGGTAACCCCCACGAGCGCTGAGGGTGGTGTTATCTGGGGGGACTGAGCTGGCGAGAGCACAAACGTTCCCCGTGGAGGCTCCTGGCTCTGGAATCATCTCCCTTCCTTCCTCCACCACTGC